CTAGAAGTTGCTCTGGATATTGTGCTAGAAGAGGACGAGAAGGCGGCAAATGATTAGAGATAGAAGGAGCTGATGGAAATTACATTAAAGAGGCACCACTGTGGCACCTTTCAAAAGTAGTGGTCATCATGGCTAACAGTAGATGTGTGTTTTCCATTTGCTTCAAGGCAATGTTAGCTAATTTCCAGAGTGCAATAGCTAAAGGACAGCGTCTCTGATGGAAGCATCGAATCGTTTGACTCTTCCCTTGCCCTCTGTGACGCGCTAATTTTCTGAAATGTAACATGTGAGAGAAGTCGATTCTACTGAATATGTGGGAGAGGTTTGCTAAGAGATAACAAGGGTGTCGACATGTATCGTAGAAGCGCAAGTAGAGGAGATGCAATAAATTGCTCAATTATTTAGGGTTGCCATTTCTGAGATTAAGAGATGACTCAACCCCAGGTAGAAACATATATACAACGCCATGAACCTGCTCTGCCCCAAATCCTTGGATATCTAAAGATGCGGGCTTTTGGAAGAGGTCTAGAACTTGGGTAGATTAGTTGGACATATTGCCATCAAAGTAGTAGTGATTCGATAAATGGATGGATAGACTGATATATAGATAGGGTCTTACGGGTTAAATGAACACGAAAAGATGGGATAGGAAATGGATGGAAACGAGAATGAGGCTGCAGACGTACGCGTTGAATAGGCTGCGACAGAAAGTCTTGCAAAACAAAAGCACCCCTACTTAAAGGAGATAACCCTCATGTTTTAATGTTGAGCGCGTATTATTCAAGGGTCAGCACAAAGAAAAACCTTGACAAGCCTACTCTTGAAGTGAAGAATGTCATAAAAGTTGACGTACAAATGGATGGTGGGTGACGATGGTCCTGCCTCCCATCTTCTTTTTACTCTGTTTGCATTCACTTTGTAGTCCAAAGGTGTTTTTATCCGTAGATGCGGCTCAAGGTGACTACTTTTACTGTCGGCAAGGTATCTCTAATGTCAATTCGTAATCCGCGAAATCGGGATGACATTAAACACCCCACTTATCCTGATGTGCGCAATAAAACCAAGTATTTGCACACTGT